CATTAGAAGAATTTATTGCTGTCACGTGGAAACCAACGAGAGAAATTACATCTCCCACAGCAAGCTCCTTCTGGGGGCATTTCCATTCTGGGGGATGGAGGGAATGTCCACCTGAGCAAGGCCATCTCTGAAGCCAGGAGGTCCCTGCAGCATGTGGCCATCCTTGCCCACCCACCAAAGTCTCCCTTTGCTGAGCCCACTTGAGTGCTGTGGAAATCCAGATGAGGCAATCCAGCTCTGGGAAGAGAGTCAGCAGCTGTTCTTTGCCGGCAGCTATCATCTCCCAGCCAGTGTGAGGGACATTTCCCTGGAAGGCAAGGTGCTTTGCCTCAACCCCACCCGTGTCTCCCGCAGCCACAGCACTCTGCATCCAGGGCTTTCTCAGTGTCCCCTCTGTTTCCTGACAGTTTTCTGGTTGTTGCCTTTTGTCAGGCAGAGTGCAGGATTTGCACTCCTCATTGACGCAGAGAAGGTCTTGGGGGCTGTTTTGTCTTCTTCACCCAGGCACTTCTGTTATTTCCTAGCTCCCAGCCCAAAACTCAGGGATAAACTCACACTCAGGACTACTGTCCTTGAGAACCACCTGAAAGACCTGAGCTGGCCTGCCCTGTGTGGGAAAGGGGTCTGAGCAAGACAGTGGGCAGAGCAGCCTCTGCCAGCTGCAGCCTCCCGTGGCTGTGTCCATGCTCTTTGAGCTGAAGTGGGGAGAAGACAGAAAGGTGTTCTGCAAGGATTCTTTTTGGCAGGGTTTTCCTAAGAAGGTTATTCCCACATGGCTCCAGGACTGTGTACTGCTCCTTGCAGAGCTGGCCGGGGCAGACAGTAGTTCACAGCCCAGAACACTTACGTTCCCTCTGGCTGGCATATAGGTGCCCTGAAGACTTGACAAGTTTGAATGCAGCCATCTTTTCCTGCTCCTCGTTACCCTTTGCAATTTTTGACTTTTTTTCAGTCTCGAGCTCTTTTTCAAGCTTTACGTCATGCTTTCCATTTTGGAGATGTCAGATGATCTGTGAGAAACTGACAGTATGTGCATGAGCAGTGAGGAGACGAGGTCCATTTTAATGAGATTAACTCTACTGGGTAGTGAAACTGTGCCTCAACAAGCCCCTAGATCTTGCTTCTTTTTGCAAAGCATGTTAATAGCACAAAAGGATTTTTACACAAGTAAGGAAAGGCAATTCACAAAACAGGTTTCTTTCACTAGCCATTCATAACAGAGATTTGTATGCTACCCTTTAAGAGGTAAGCACAATCAGAAATCAGTATTCTCTTGGCTCCTGAAAACAGCCGGAAATATTTCTGAATAAAAAGTGAATAAAATCTGAATAAATTCTGAATAAAAGCTTGGGGTTCACCATTCACCCAGCAGATCCTGCAAGCACTCTCCATTTCTTCTCTGGTCACCTGTAGGAGTCTAAACAACCAAATGCAGAGGGGTGCTTTGACACTGAGATTTAACCCCATGAGAACTCCTCCAGTAGCAAGGGCAGAGTTTGGATGCTCATGAGGCAGGATGTGTGGAGACACACAAAGGTTGAGCACCACAATGCTTTCCAGCCCATCGTCATTTCATGAAAGTACTAAGGCGCCTTTCATCACCTATATAAGTGTCATTATTCCCCATAGACGAAGAAGTCAAATCAAAACAAAAATTTTGGTACTGTTACCATCTTGGATCTAGCACACAGACAGGCAACTAAGTTCAAAGACAATTTGGTGTGCATTTGAGGGCTGTATTAATTTTCTGACTCCCTGTGGAAATTACTGCTTGTTCTTAACTTCAAGAGAGACTCGATTAACATGGCACGTGAAGCCAATCTTCATGGCTAAATTATTAGTCCTTAGGACAGACTGGGCTCATACTTCATGCTGGTTGCCAATACAATCTGGGTGAATTCTGGAGAAGTAATCACAGCTCAAACAGGGTCAGCTGCACAAGGCCAAGGCTATTTATGGCTATTTTCAGAGGCTTGCTGTGGTCAGGAATGCCAGTGATACCTATTTCAGTTCAGAATCCTGCAGAAATCAGAAAGACATCTTCACTTAGGTCTTTAGTTAAGGAATTTCTCACCATAGGATAGAATGTTGAACTGCAAAATGACTACGTACAAACATTCAGCAATTAAGCAACACACAAAATAATTTACGCATACTGGCTAAATGCAAAAAGACAGCCAGTCCAAGTGGCAGATAAAAGCACTCTTTCAGTGGTTTCTTTTTGACCTAGACGCCACTAATTTAATATGTTCTGTAGCATCTACAGCAAATAATTTTTATGGAATGTATTTTTTAAATCTTGCTTTCCAGTGAAGTACCTTTTTTTTTTCTTTTTTATTTTTTTTTATCTGGTACTCCTTTCTAAGCTATTTTTGGACCCCAATTCATGAATTCTAAGATTTCTGGGCAACACTGTGAACGAGTGAATAGATGAATAGGAGATGTAAAATATCCCAGCCTGCATAAGAGTTATCCAGTCCAGTTTTCCTGTTCTCTATTGAAATGTGGATTTAGTGATGATTTGTTCAAGCCTGCGGGAAAGCTTATTTATTTATGTATTAAAAAAAAAAAAATTCAAATGTTCTAATCTTAACTCATATTTCTGACTACAAATAACTCCTGTATTTTTGAGCTAGGTCTGGAATATCTCTCCCAGGTACCTATGGTCTGTTCTTGAATTTGGTTTTTATTTGTAAAAGTCTGATTTGTTTAAATAGCTGTAGGAAATTCCATGTAATCAGTGGTGAGAGGATATTCACTAAGTTTTAAAGGCCTGATCTGAACAACAGCAGGAAAATGGTCAACATACCTTGATGGTCATTCCAAGTATTAATTTTGACTTCAGCAGTACTAGGTACTACCAGAAAAAAACTGTAGATCTTGCATTTAAGAAAAAGAAAGTGTGGTCCTAGAAAATAGACACAGATTTCTCCACATCTCTGCGAGTGTCCAATCTTTACATATCTGATTGCTAGCTTTAGCAGTGGGACACATGTGTGATTTATTCACTTTCAGATCTTTAAGTAAGACAACAAAACAACACTAAAATCTCCTGTTGCTTGTCAGTGAGTAGATGGTATCCATTGTGGTGAGGGTGGCTTGCAAAGGCACAGACAGCTGTAGGTACAGGTACCTTTTCAGATTGAGGTGAATGGAGTAAGGCAACAACTAAAGCCTTGATTTCCATCCATCTGGACAGCAAACAAACAAAACAAGCAGAGCAGGTGGGCACACACAATGATACCAAGACAGGCCAGGGCAGTATCAGATCAGTGCCTCACCAAAGCAATCGCAGGGTAGCAGCAGAGGGATGGATGTGTTCCTTCAGTGCTCTGAGCTGACAGACCTCACACTCCTCTCCAGACAGCTCACACTGAAAACTGCAACAAGGGCTTCTTCTGCACTATGGACGGCCCTTGTTGCTCCTTTAAGGACCCAACCTGTTGCTAGCAGCAGCTTGAGGGCAAAAAAGCCCAGAGCCTTTGGATGACATAGATTTTCTCTACATCCATGAAACAGCAGGAAAATGCTACAGGCCATATGGAGTACAGCCAGTGAGAGCTGCTGCCCAGGCCCCTAGAAACAGCTGCATTAATGAGTTAACAGCACCACAAGAAACACTTGCTTGTGCTTTCTGTGCCTCAATGTGGGCACTGCAGCTACGTTTGTGCCACATTGTACAGTCAGGCACCAGAGACTGCAGTGAAACCAGGTATTTGTCCCCCTTCCAAGGCAGGTGCTTGCCTCACCAAAGCAGCAGAGCAGCCTGGACTGGCTTCCCAGCCCCTGCTTTAGTGGGGAGCCTCTACCATGTGCCCCCACTCCAACAGCTGACAAGATATGCAAAAAGCACCAGCTGCAGAGAGATTAGAAAGATGTGTCAAAAAAAGCTTCTGTCTCTGTCTCCTGCACAGTGGACCCAGCAGATCTTTGATGGGTTTGAAGCCCTAAAAGGAGTTCTCTGTGTTCTGGTATTGCTTGAGCCTCCACAAAGGAGATGAAAAGGAGGAATAAAACATCTGAACAGCTCAATCTGGTCTGAACTGCATGCATTCATTACGGCAAAGACGGATTTCTTCTGGTTCCTCCTCCGTATCCTCCTCTTCAGTGGTGGCAGCGAGAAGCTTGACACTCCAATTACAGGATATTCACATTAAACAGAGAAGAGGGACAGCTAGTTGGTGGCAGATATTTAGGCTATGGCATCCAAGGCTCCATGCAGCCAGCAGAAACCCGAAGGAACAGATTGAAACTACTCTAATGGCCCGGCTCCTCACAACGCTTTGGTATAGACTTAAATTAGCTCTGAGCTGTCAGTGTTACCCATGACTTAAATCAGGGTCCAAATGTACTCACTTTAATAAAGCTACTGCAAAATGGGACCAGTGTTCTGGAGGCTGGAAGGGGCCCTGTTGTGTGGGGCTGCTGTTGCAGTGTAGCATTGGGAAATGCTTTTTCCATTATTTTTTTTCCCCTCCAGGTTTGCCATTTGGCTGTACCTCAGTCTGGCAGCACAAGGTCTCAGGCCAGGAGTGGATGTTCACTCTACTCATTTAAAAAACCATGTGGATAAAATCCATTCAAAGGTTTGTGCAAAAGCAAATGATGTTTGTGGCTCAGAGACTGCTTTTTCCTTTCAAACTTGAGAAAAGTTTTTTGTCTTTTTTCCCCTCCAATGAAAATGGTAGTGCAGGCTAAGAAAAATGTCATTAATAATACAAACTGAGGGCCTTTGGGAGGAAATTTTAGTTTTCAAAAGTGACTACTCTGCATGAATATGTCATGCCATCAGAAGTTTATCTGCATTGTCTTGACTCTTCACATATGTATATATTTCTTTTCTGTCAGACATGGTCCTTATCCTTATTTAAATAGGGTATAATTATAGATGCCTACTTAAATTACAAGAAATAAATATAAATTCATCTATTCAATAGGCATTTTCCTAGGAAAAAATGTTTTCCTTCAGATATTGGTTTTCTTCAGGGTTTTTTCCTCTCTATTTTTAATTTAAAGCTACTTCTCTTATGTTTTATTCACTTGTTTTCATTAGGTAAAGGAATGCCTTGGCATGAAAACCTGTCCTGAATCCACTGCCTGCTTGACAGATAGATATAAAGACTTGAAACATGAGAGGAAAAGCAGATGGTTGCAAGGGGAAAAAAAACCCAACCCTTAAACAAAAGTACAAAAGTATTAAAAGAATTAAACCTAGCACAGGCACATGTATTAATACTTCTGAGTTCCATTGCATGTGCTGGTAAGACTGACAGACCTCAACAATGGATCTCTACCACCTTTCTAAAAAGGCAGAAACCTCCTTTTTGTCTCCAAATTGATCTTGACCGGTTTGTTGCAAGTAGATACTGCTTGAATTTCAAATATTGAGTGCTGGTATCTGCGATTGGCCCCACAGTGTAAATCACATGCTAATGTTTCTCTGTCTTGACTGGATGAGAATAAACATAATAATCAGGAAGAGGCCTTGAAGAAGCCACTGTGGCTTTAAATCTCTCAGGGAGCAGCAGCCGTTTAGGGAGAAGCGACTGATAAAGCGGATTAGGGAGTTCTAGAAAATTTAAAGCCCATCCCTTTCTTGCCCACACAGGCTCTGCCCAAGGCGTCATTCCTAGGAAAATTAGGCTGCTGTGAAATTTATTGCCAGGGTGCAGAATTTACATTTCAATTTCTTCTGTCACAGCCTGGGCTGCGGTCAGATCCCCTCTGCCTGCCTCCCCTGGTGCTGCACCCTGCACCCCTCACCCTGCCACAGGCCCTGGCCCTGCACTTCCTCCACACTCTTTGCAGGAGCTGGAGACAACTGCAAACCCCTTTTCCAAAAGTTTGAGGAGAGCAGGGCAGGCCAGGAGGCATTGCAGAGGATGGCTGCTGTTGCTTTTCACCATATTGCTGCCCTCGTGGCCAAGCAAGGGCTTATTTTCTTGCCCCTACAGAAATTCAGTGGAGTTGAATGTTTGCACTGTCCATAAACTGCTCTCAGGGATTGTCTGTGAAGAGGTAGTCACAAGCCAAGGCAGGTGATGACTGTATCTAGATCATTAGAAAAGGACCCATAATCCTCTTCCAAGTGTCTGTGGGGCTCTGCTGGGCTTCTCACTGAGGTATGGCTCAGGTGGTACCAAAATGCTTCCATCCTGTGGGAGGGACAGGGGGCACAGCAAGTCCTGAAGGCATCATCTGAGAAACTGAAGGAGAAGAAAAAGAAAAGGAAATAGAACACACGGAGGGAGAAGAATAGAAATAGTGAGAAATGGCAGAGTGCAAAATAATAAGATTGCTGCAGATAGATCAATTCTGGAGTATTTGGTTGAACTTTTCTACAGGGCACTCACTGCCCCTTCGTGCTCTACGTTATTCTCCTTGTCGAAGAGGTCACTAGCAGGCAGGTTTGCAGAAATGATGATTATTATCTGGATATTCATAAACATCCAGTACGCTGCCAATCACAGGACAGAAATAGGCTGTATCACCTCTGGGTCTGAATGGAATTGGCCAAGAAAGCTTGAAATTAGCAATTTGTTCTTTTGTGGCAAAGTCTAGGTCCTAACACTGATGTCATGACTAGCTGAAATTATGTCTAAATTAGAGAAGAAAAAAAGCCCAACTTCCTCAGAGGTGTTTTGCAACTGTAAATGAGGCATAATTGTATCACCTAGGAACTATGATAAACTGTTATTAGCATTTGTGTTGCATTTCCCACAGAAATCCAGGAGGGTTTTTTATCCCAGATTAAGGGTCCCTCCCAATACTTGAATAGGAACTGTGTATGGAAATGGAGTTGTCCAGGGTGTCACCACCTTGAGGTGAAGGATAGCCTGAGGTGCAAGGGTAGAGAATAAATGTTACTGCAAGAAAAGCTGCTGAATTTCCTTTTGAGAGACTGATAATCCCACTGGCTTCTGCAGAAGCAGCTTTTGATTATCATTGCTGATGATATTAGAAGACATCTCTGGAGTCTGTCCTTTAAAAAATGTTTCCCCAGTGCTACTTGAAAACATATGGGTTGGGAACTGAAGTGAAAAACTGATGTTTTACTAACTCTCTTGGCATGATGGAGGCTTAGAAAATGATGTGTCTGATACTGGGGATGCATTTTTAACAGTAAATGAAACCAGACTGCATAAAATTTCAAAATACTAGACCGATAAATGTAGATGAGAAAAGAATTTGAAACAAGAAAAAGGGACTTATTAGAGAACCAAATGAGAAAAGATGGATCAGACCTGGAGTTGGGGTGAATTGGAGCAGCTCCATGAATTTTAGTGGGTCTATTCTGAGCTGCATGAACTCATAGGAGATCTAGACATACACTAGCAGGGCTGGAGTAAAACAGATTATTTTCAAGTGCAGCAGCATCCTGAGTGCTTTATCAATTAATAGGATGGGCAAGCAATTTGGAAGGTAACAAATTTGAGGGAGAAAGAGCAGAGATGGAGTCAGTGCTGGGGTATTTTCCTAACTCCAGTTACTGCACCAGCAGTGCCTGGCTTCAAAGAAGGCACATCTCCACGGGTCATTGCAAGCAATCAGGAAGGGAAAAAAGTGAAAAAAGAGGAAAGAGGAAGGCTCCATGTCCTAGTTGACCAGGCTTTTTCAGTCTAGTATCTTGGGAAACTGGCCCACAGTTACATTATTTAAAACAGAACAGAACACCTGGAGAGAAGGTCATGCTTTTGTTCCAGTGCCTCTTCTCTGGACAACTTAAATTTCTTCCTGAACTACATGCACTAACCTCCAGAAGATGTTTTATACCAGAACAAGTGTGCTGTGTGCTTGAATTAGATTAGGTTACTTTTGCCTAAAAAAATAATAATTAAAGAGCGTTACTCTGCTACTTGATCAGAGTATACATTAGACAAACCTCTGGCCTTAAACAAAGTACAAAACTTCACCCCTTGAGCTCCACAATCTGTGAAAAAATTAATACATTTTGATTGCTGCAGGAGAACTTTTCAGAAAAAAACTACTTTGGTAAAGTGTAGAATCTCTTGACTGGGCTTGTGGCTCTGAGCTCCCTCCAGAAATTACTGATTTTGTAAATTTACTGAAATAAAAAAACATCCCGTTTCAGTGCCTTTCCCCTCTAATGCTCTCTTTTAGTTATAACACACATACCCACAGGAAAAATCAGACGACCAGCAGATTGTGTGCCAGACAGGTGCTACAAAATTCCTGGTGAACTTCAGGAGGCTTTGGTATGCTCTTAAGAAAAAAGTAAATTCTGCTGGGGCTGGCATCCTTCTGCGCCAGTACAGGCAAGCTCTCAATCTGCTCCTTTTCTGTTAATAGGTCAGATGTTTTGACCCCTGGAAAAGATTTTTTAAATGTCAGAACTTATATTTTTGCTATATATACTGTGGCTACAGTTTCCGTTGAAGCTGTGAGGTTATCAGCACCCTATAGAAATGTTAGATCTTAAAGACAGCTTTCATCCTTAGCCACAATCAGTTAACCTAATCTATTTTTCAGTTTTCCCATGCCCTCTTTACACTCTCTAGCTAGTAGCATAACCTCTTTTCCAAAAACCAACATAGCTAAAAAACACTTTATATCACTTTCAGTTCTTATAGAAACCAGGATAGGTTTTGCATTTGCCTACACAAAGAAGTTTTATTTCAGTGACTTGAGGCGCTAGGGTTTTTCCAGATGCAACTCAAACCATGATTTCCCATTGAAATAAGCTTTTATCCTTTTTCTAAGGGAAAGACTGTGTTATGAGAAAATTCAAATTATTTTATTCTAGAAAATGTCTAATTAAATTGAACAATAAAAATTGTTATCCTTTTTGACCGCCAAGCAATTAAGTGACCTGGTGATAGGGAATTAAGTCAGTCTTCTTCCTTTGAAATGACAGCTGAAATAGGAGAGGCGCTGTTCTTTGTCTACTGTGTGCGTGCTGGAGAGGAGGCAGAGGGGGAAGGATGGAAACGGAATAATACACAATCAGAGAAATCTTATCCCTGTTGCAATTGCAGAATTTTTTCCCATTAACTTTCCTAAGGGCAGAATTTTCCTCATTGTGTCCCATCTTCTAGGATAGCCTCATAAACAAACAAACAAGAGAAAGCCCCGATAAACCTCCTTGCATCTACTACAATTTATATTATCCCCCAAACTGTTAATCTAAAATGCTCATTGAGTATATTGTGGTGCCTCTCTCTTTCTTTGACATCACTTGGTGTAAATGGCAGTATAGCAGGAAGAGTCCATGCTAGCTTATTGAAGGAATGTGCCAATTAACTTGTAATTCAAAAATTACACAGTGGGATGTAGATTGGGGACACTGGGTTTAAAACCAGAAGCATCTAAAGTACCAGAGCTGTGGCAAATTCACCAGCATTACAGACCACAGCCTCTCCATCAAAGACAAGAGATACAGCCTCAGAGCCTGGTGACAATGTGGCCACATAGAAAGTTTTCCCTTTTACATCACTGCAATTATCTTAATTATAGGAAGTTAATTCAACTGGCATACAGTAGCTTTCATTTTCAGTGATAAAAGCATCCAAGGTGACACAATCCAAGATGTAAAAAGGACATGCATAGGGAAATTAGTGATTCTGTTAGGGACATTATATTGGCATGACTATTTTTTTTGAATAATTGTGCCCCATCTAATGCTTTTTCCAGACCATCCAATCTTTGGGTGGCTGTTGATTATACAGCGCTGTGTGATAGGATCATTGTGTATTAAGCATCAGTGAGTGCTTGCCTATACGATAAAAGTGTATACAAAAATCAATTCTATACAAATTATCTCAATAAATTGGCTGAAAGCTTGTAAGAAGTAACAAACAGATAATAATAAAATAAAAGTATCTGTTTTGGTGTCACCAGTTAGAGTAAGATGTTTGTCACAAGATATCTCATTGCAGGGATGAACAGTGGTTTTGTTTCCTTTTCCCCAAACTGCTGTAACTGTGATCTTCCACTGGATGCCCTTTAGTAAGGAAGAAGTCATTACCAACTGCCCCTTGTTACATGGCAGCATCCAGCTGGAAAAATGTTTCTGCTAGCCTGCATAAATTTGGTCTAACTATTAATTACTGTAATTAATTAACCTCTATGAGTAGAAAAACATGAAAAGAGGCTAAAGAACAAGTCGGTTTCATGCCAAAGATGTTTCTACAGTAGCTGAATACTATGCTTTCACACCACAGTTGTAAAAGTTCCTGGGTTTGTAGTTCTCCTTGTTGATGGTGGCATTAATAATTTCCAACAGTGACAGATTTCAGAATGTCAAAAGAATTAGGGCTGTAGTGTCAGAAAATAGGAACGTAAGCCACGCAGCACAAATGCAGAGCTTTTTTAATGTGTTTAGATTTTAAATCCTTTTAAGGGATAGCATTGCAGGCTTCAAGTGCCCCAGCAAATCATTAATGATAATATGAAATCCCAGCAGAATTACAGCAGCTATTTCACCATGAACTTGGCCATCCAGCCATGTAAAAAGACTCCTTTCCACCTCTGAGTCATTACTCATTACAAAAAAAGCCCATCATCTTTCCACCAATCTAGCAGGGTAGCTGGAGAGACTAAAACTAGAAGAGTGACCCATATTGGCTGTATATCTTAACAAAAAGCAAGACTGGACAAATTCACACAAGAAAAATTCTTCAAGTACTATTAAATGTCTCAGGTCAAGAGAGCAACTTTGGGGGAAAATTGTAATTACTGGTCTATTATTAGATACTGTAATTTTGCCAGAAAGCCAAAAGTTGCAATAAATCAACTTTAATACTATCTGTTGTCTCCAAACATGGAAAAGGGCCATGAATTCAGTGGAGGGACAGATAATGCAGTTATATTAGAATACATTATTATCCAAAGTGTTGCCTATTGACAGTTTAATTTTTATTGCATGGCAAAGGTTAACATCTTTAGGTAGTTCAAAGGACCCAAAGGGTAAAAAATTACCAAGAATTCATCTATTCAGCATAGATATGAAATTATCAGAAAAGACAGTCAGTATGGTGCTAGCACCCTCTGATCTAGATGATAGATTTGATTTGGCAAAGATTTGGCTGTCATTAATGGTGGACAGACACTGAGGGCTGAAAAAAGGTGCCAGCTTATTATTCTGCAGCTGAAATGTAGCTCTTGGAAACAAGATTCATGAGTCTCAGATTCCTACTGGAAACTGAGCTGTGATTCATTTTGGGAAACTGTGAGAATATTTTTATTGCAGGTTATCTTACTGTTTTACCTAGAAATAATGCGCCCAGACTTCTTCTTTTCAATTAAAAAGAGGAAGAAAATTGAATGAAAAGAGCAATCAATTTGGAGAAAAAAAATGGGACATTCTTCCACAGCTTTTTCTTACAGGCACAGATCGCTCTTATGGACATCAGACTTGACAGTCTATGCTGGATCCTTCAGGACAATTTAATCTCAGAGGAGAGTGTGCCTACCCACTTACTTAGTGATGCTTAAATGAGCAAACTATTTGACTAGCACTGCAGTACATTTGCTTTTGGTTGGTCTGCAGGATTAATTAAAGTACTTTGGGTATATTTGAGACCACCTTCATGTTCTAGACCAGAGATAATCGTGGTGTCTGTCACATGATGGGAAAAGAGGAAAAGATACACCACACCAGACAAAGAGTTCCAACGCTGTGAGTTTTCAGATAATGGTGCTCTGTCATTTTGGCCCTAAAGTTTTATTCTGACTAGGCTGATGTTCTATCATGTAATTCTACTATCTCACATTATATCACTTCATCACTGTTTAGTGTTTTATTCTTCATAAGGTTCAGTGGTATTCCATCCCATTCCCCAGCTTGGTTCTGCACTGCAGAAGAGGGCTTTAAGTCCACCACCATTTAAATATATTGAAGCTTCCTCTTCCTGTGGGATGAGAAGTGGTGGCTAGAAATGTCCAGCTGAGCTTCTCTTTTGCCTCTCTCACTTCTCATCTAATTCCTTTTTTGCATTGGTCTGACAGAGCCCGAGATAGTGGCACTTCAGGCCACATTGCAAGACCCATCTATTATTACGTCTTTTACCAAAGAGGCTGATTTGAAGGGGCATGAAGTTTTGTGAGGCTTCAGAAGTGTTGAATTGACTTTTCTGTCGCTTTTGCTACATTTTAGTTTCTGTGAGTTACAACACTGATGGAAATAGCCTTATAGTCTATGATGGGCAGATTATATAAATATCATGTTAAAGAAATTGAAATGTTTTAAAAAATTAAGTCAATCAAAAGTTTTTTAAAACCAGACAATATATGTAATAACAACAACAACAAAAAAACCTACTACAGTTTTATTTTTGGAAAAATATATATGGTAAGAAGGGAAACTATGCAGTTTAATTTTCTCCTTGGTATTAGTTCTCATAGTATTCGCCAGTAATGGCAACATTATAATTTGTAGAATTAATTAATGATCTGGCATCTGATTTTGATTCATTAATGCTTAAGCCAGCTAAGTCTCAATTATCCTCTGGACTATTTATTCCTTAACAAGCTTTTAGCTAATGTGATTTTAAAAATATGAAAATAGGTTTTAACTTGCCTTTAAGACGCAGCAATATTTTAATTCTCCTCTATAAAATAAAGGAACCTTCATATTTCTTATTCTATTATAGTTACATTCAAAATTAGACTAGGGGATTTGCAATGTATTCACTAAATATATATTGTATTTATATGTACCTGGAACCTGACTTCAATTTAGTCTTGATTAAAAAATGTACTGAATTGGAAACTGTGTAATAAAGGATGCCTAAATCATAGTGACCCAGAATATCTCACTCAGTCAGACAGTTAGCAAATAAGTGCACAAGCAAGCAGATGATACAAGCATTCAAAATTAATTCTATTCTCAGAGGATGCACAGACTAGGAGATAGCATCTGATTCTATCTGCAGAGGTGTAAATCCAGAGTAACACCTTGGCTAAAGTCTCCTTACCCTGAACTTGATTACTTATCCTGAAAATGATCAGAATTGGACTCTCCTGTGCCCAAGGCTAGGTTAAAGTAGCTGAAATATCCAGTTCTACTTCATGACATTTTTGTCATGCAACTGAAAGTATCTACCAATTTCCAGGTATTTACTATCTATAACTAATCCATTTACCAAATGTAAGGACTCCTGATATTTTCTCAATATTACTGATATTTTAAAAAGTTCAATCACCACATTGTTTAAGAAAACCTGCCCAATGCAGTTGTGACTAATGTTGCAATTGTGTTATGATAAGATTCATTCAGAAACCACATACCTTTGATTTCAGATTGTCAGGCACCAGTTCAGTGAAGATACTTCTGTTCCCGGGCTCTGATGTGATGGACCTGCCTGTCATCACTGCACCTTGTCCTTGCTCACATCAAAGCTGAAATGCATAATTACAAAGATGGATAAATAAATTAATTGTGTTTTAACCAAACAATCATCGTTAATTACTTTAGTTACTGAGATTTGTTTTCAAAGTACCTTCTGAAAAAATTTCAGGCATTATGCAAACAGTAGAAAATACCATTTTCTAAGCTATCAGTGTTGCAATACATGAATCAGAATCACTAAATTGGAAGAGACCTTCAAGATCATCAAGTCCAAACCATGCCCTAAAACCTCAACTAGACCATGGCACTGAGTGCCACATCTAGTCTTTTTTTAAACACATCCAGGGATGGTGGCTCCACCACTTCCCAGGGCAAACCATTCCAATATTTTTCTGTAAAAAACTTTTTCCTAATATCCAACCTATATTTCCCTTGGTGCAGCTTAAGACTGTTTCCTCTCGTTCTGTCAGATGCTGCCTGGTGAAAGAGACTCATCCCACCTGACCACAAACACCTTTCAGGAAGTTGTAGAAAGTGATGAGGTCACCCCTGAGTCTCCTTTGCTCCAGGTTGAACAACCCCAGCTCCCTCAGCCGTTCCTCACAGGGTTTGTGTTCCCAGCCCCTCACCGGCCTCGTTGCCTCCTCTGGATGCACTCGAGTGTCTCAATGGCCTTCCCAAACTGAGGGGCCAAAACTGGGCACAGCACTCCAGGTGTGGCCTCACCAGTGCCCAGTACAGGGGGAGAATGACCTCCCTGCTCCTGCTGGCCACACTATTCCTGACACAGGCCAGGAGCCACTGGCCTTCTTGGTCACCAGGGCACACTGCTGGCTCATGCTCAGTTATGAAAAAACCCATCTTCTCCTGAAACTGTGTTTCCTTCTCCTAAGAAGTCATTCAATGGCTTTTCAATACCTGCCTGTCAATGTATACCATTGGTGTCAGTGTTTTTCCTTAGCTCATACTGCTGTGACAGCTAGAGCCTTCTGCACCCTTCTCATCAATAAACGCCTGAGATAAACATCCAAGAGCATCTTCCTTTCCACTTTCAGATCAAGATGTAAGTCTCTCTCCTGTTAGTCCAAGATGGGAAGTCAGTCCCGACTTTCAATGCATGAGCTGTAATGCCAGCTTCCCTTGAAACCCAAGGAGCCCTTAGCTCAGCCAGTTGCCACACAGGAATAGGGGGACTGCTGCCTATGGGTTAAAAAATCAAAACCCATTTGCTGAGTCAGATCCCGTGGCCCACTGAATCCACACTGCAATGCTCCAGGGACACAAGGCAGCTTACAAAAAGATAAATCCAGTTTATGTGACCAGCACAGAACTCCTGGGTGGTCACAAAAACAGCTACCAGAGTCATACCAGAGGCAACAAACAAAGGAATCAATCTCCAGTTACTGCTGGACGAGGAAAAGTTCAAGGTACCTGTGCTGTTATGGCAAGAGTTCACTTGGGCTAAGAGGTAAACAGAGACAGCTGAGCTTGATCTCTAAAGCTGGGGCTGGATGGCTGGAAGCACCAGCTTTCTCAATTGCTTAGAGTAAAGGATTGAGTTGATAAATCAGAGCAGCCCTGATCGCTTTTAATCAACTGAATGAGGAGGAAGGAGGGGACGTGGAGGCTTGGGAAGAAAAATATGTAAAGCTTAAAAAGTTCCAGCTGCTGCTCTCTAATGGAGTCTCGTTCCTCATGAACGGTGGAATGGTTAGGCCACCTGGTGGCAAATAGCAAACCAACAACGTTTGCAGTTTCTAAGCTACAATAAATGTCCTAAGGATCAGAGAGCTCTGGGAACTGTCAAAGGCTGGGAGCTTTTCACACCCAGGTGGCTGCTATGCAGCCTCTGCTGGGAGACAGCAGCCAGCAAAGGCTGCCATCAACCACTCCACAGGTGCACTGCTGGGAGACAGCAGCCAGCAAAGGCTGCCATCAACCACTCCACAGGTGCAACACAGAACAGCTGACCTGGTGTCTGGCCAATTTCTGCTTGACACCTGTCTCCATCACCAAATCTTCCACCACAGCTAGCCTCTCCCTTACCCCAGGATGGAGGCAAAAGACAAAGGAGCTGAACTTAGCTTGTAGCTTGTGAGGAAGTAATCAATGGCTCAGCATTCCAGTGCACATTAGTGAAAAGTGGTGTTGTTCAAGGGTCAGTACTGGAACCAGTACTGTACAATAGCTTCATCAGCAATATTGACAAGGGGGTTCAAGTGCACCCTCAGAAAATTTGCAGATGACACCACACTGAGTGCTGTTGTTGACACACCTGAAGGACAAGATGCCATCCACATGGATCTTGACAAGTTTGAGAAGTGGACACATGGGAATCTCACGTGATTTAGCAAGACCAAGTGCAAGGTGATGCACTTGGATCAGGGCAGCTCCTGGTACCAACGAGGGATGAACAGATCAAGAGCAGCCCTACTGAGGAGGATTTGGTGCTGTTGGATGAAAAGCTGAAGCAATGTACATTCACAGCCCAGAAAGCCAAACCTGTCCTGGGCTGCATCCAAATCAGCGTGGCCAGCAGGGCAAGGGAGGGGATTCTGCCACTCTGCTCTGCTCTGGTGAGACGCCACCCGCAGGGCTGTGTCCAGCTCTGGAATAAAACATGGAGATGTTGGAGTGAGTTCAGCAGAGGGACACAAAAATTATCAGAATGCTGGAGCAGCTCTCTTAGGAGGAAAGGCTGAGAGCTGGGGTTGTTCAGCCTAGAGAAGAGAAGTCTCTGTAGAGACCTTGTTGTGGTCCTTGAGTACTTAAAGCGGCCGTATAAAAGGCTGGGGATAAACTTCTTACCAAGGTCTGTTGTGACAGGATAAGGGATAACTGTTTTAAGCTAAAAGACAGTAGATTTACACTAGCTATAAGGAAGAAGTGTTTTATAGTGAGTGTGGTAAAACTGGAACAGGTTTCCCAGTAACACAGGGTTGCCCAGGTGGATGACCCTTTCCTGGAAACACTTAAGCTCAGCTTGGACCAGGCTCTGAGCAACCTGATCTAGAACATGTCCCTACTCATTGCAAGAGAGTTGGACTAGATGACTTTTATAAAGATGACCTTCCAACACAAACCATTCAATGATTCTGATTCTAAGCAGGAGCTTGACATGATGTTTGTTGAGTCTGAAT